AAGTTCATTAAATTTGATTGGGTGGTCATCGAGATATCTTTACTTGAATCTTTAAAAATTTTTATTTTTTGCTGGGGTACAAATACCAAATTTGGGGGTATGAATACTAGCGCCCTTATTATTATTATTATTATTATTATTATTATTATTTTATTATTATTTTATTTTAATTTATTTATTTATTTTTTTTTAGTTGCGTTTATTGATTAAAAGTGTTAAAGAAACACCAAAGTGTTGTGAAAGGTTAAAAAAGGTATGCCAAATTCACAATATAAGTCAATTGAAACCAATTCTTGACGTAAGTACAAGGTGGAGCTCCATCTTCAAAATGTGTAATTGGGCTGTAGAATTGCAAATAGTATTAGATAGTGTTGTCTTAGCTAAATCCGATTCACGTCTATATGCTTTTAGTGAGGATGAATGAGATAAGATAAAACTTGTAATTGAAGTTTTAGAACTATTTAAAGATAGTTAGTAAACTGTTTTGTAATATAATTTATTAGTTTTATGTTAATAAACTTACACTAAATATGTACATAATTTTGGTTAGCAACAACCATCATGTCATCATCTGAATATCTAACATTATCAATAGTTGTTTTTCTTTATCACATGTTGCTCGAAACGCTTAACGAAACTTAGCGAAAAAGTAGTACACCGCAATGGCTTGTACAAGGATGTCAAGCTGCGATTGCTAAACTCCTAGAATATTGTCAAAAGACAAATATATGGCATATTTCAGCAATAGTGTTAGATCTATGGCTTAAGTTCCAGTATTTTGAAGAGCTTGGATAGTTGTTGCAACTTATTAATCAAATCAAAGACATGTTAGTTTATGATCTGTAGTGTAAAATATGTAATCAATATAATGTATAATTAATAAATTATATATTATTTTATAGTATTAAAAATAAATATGAAAATCAATATGTACCTGTTTCTGATCAAAATGTAGTATACTTGACTGCCAAAATATCTACAACGAATATAGTATCACAAATTTACAAACAAACTCGTATTGAGCATCAAAGCGAGCTTGATCTGTACTCAAATGCACCACTAGCACATTTATGTATAGATATTCTAGAATAGTGGTGAATAAATAAACCCAATTATCTAAATCTTTCAAGATTTGCTAGAGACTGCCTTTCGATACCTGCTATGAGTGTTCCAAGCAAACAAGTTTTTAGTATTAGTGGTGATATGATAACTGAAAAGCAGAGTCGATTGAATGAAAAAACAGCGCGAATAGCGATGTATTTAAGATCATGGTAGAGAGAACTAGATGAATAATATGTATATAATTTAATATTATTTTCAATAATTCTAAATCATGCAATTATTTTTACTAAGTCCATATTAGAGTCGTACTTGAGCAGATATAATGAGTTATTTGCTAATTTTAACAAATCATAAGAAATTGAATCGGATAACACATTTGCATTAAGAAGTTGTGAAAACATTTATTTTATAATGGGCAAATATGAAAAGTCGCTTGCATATCTTAAAATTAAATCAGATAATGCACTTGTATTAATAATTCATATGTATGATGGCAGATATGATGAATCATTTGCATTTAAAAACTCAGGAGATACTTATCATATAATGAGCAAAAGTAATATGTCACTTGCAGATTTAAACTTGTAGTATGCATATATATGAAAAGAATTCTTTGAAATCTAAATAAAATAGTTAGAAATAATATTAGCTTTTATTTTATTTTTATTTAGGCTATACAAACTAAATTTTCTGGTTTTCATAACTGGCCGGGTCACCAAACCCAAAACAAAAATTTAAATTTTTAGGCGCAGTAGAAAATTGACCAATCAGAATTGGCCAAATCTATATGCATATCAACAGATCGAAAGGGGTTACACATATGAATCGACATAGAAAAGCCATCGACTACAATCAGTATATAAATAATCGACAGCAAGACACTTTTCCACTTCGGCACAATAGTTTTTAGCATTTCTCGACCCAACCTCTCCCACCACACACTAAGTTTCTTAAATATGCAATTTTCTTATTTAATAGCTGCCTGCTTCGAGCAGGCAAAAATCACCGGCTGATGCTACTTCTCGCTTGTTCTACTTCTCGCTTGTTCTACTTCTCGCTCGTTCTACTATTACGATGATACCTGGCGCAATCTCACTTGATAATTTTCAGGGTGCATATCATCATTTCAGTTTGATTTACTTAGCTAAACTTATTCTAATATATTCTGCAGATTTCATGTCCTTTAATTAAATTTATTTCTGGCACCTTTGGGCTAATACTTTTCGTACAAAATTTAAAATGTTCGATCTGTTTATTATCACATGATTTAACTATATCACAATACCCTGTTGGTTAACAATGGGGTATTGGTATTGTAATTACATTCAAAGTAAAATCTCCATAACAATAATATTAATCACGTGCATTTATAGAGATTTTACTGTATTTCGGTACAAGACTTTTTATTATTGATTTTATCTGCTTGTTCCCATTTATACCATTTTTTTGAACTTACACAATTATTACATGTTGGATATATATTTTTTGATTCCACACCTTCAATATTAGCACTACCACAGCTATAGCAAATATTGAAATAAATTTTTGCAGAATAATAAGGTTTTTTGATAAAAGAAGCACAAGTCCAAGAATTATTTACAAAAATACGGATAAAAAGCTCCTAAATAGAATTATTAACCACATCCTTACTATTGTTACTAACAAAATCTTTAGGTTTAGCATCTTCATAATCGGTATTATAATTACTCTGAATATCCTCCTCTTTATCAGATATATTTTCATAGTTATTGCTTCTATCTTCATTATCAGATTCATTATCGGATTCATTATCAGATTCAATTAGAAACTCTGCTATTTCAGGTGATGTAGAATTATCATTATTACTATTTAAAGACTCAACCGATAATGGTATAGCCGAAGTTAATTCATTAGTATTTGTAAATGTTGTTCCACAAGTATATAGAATCGTATCAAGAAATTGGCAAAGTAATTGACAATCCTTATCTGATATTTTTTTCACACTGAACAAAAGGCGTGGTTTACCACATTCTGTACAAGTAACAGTAATTCCTACATATTTAGCATGGAATGCAGAAGAGCAAAATGGCATTGTATGCTTTGATCTGTTTTTTTTGTTTTATTTTTTTAGATTGTATTACTTCTTGATATAAAGGTCTATACTTTTCGGTTGTTGTGGTATCATATAACTCTTTGAAAAACTTATAGTAAAAATTATTTCCTGGAACTGGATCAGGAATACAATAGAGTTGATTAAATATTTCAAGTGAATAACGAGGCAGTTTGCAGATCATACAAGCACCCTTTCCACATTTTTTTATCATAAAAAAGTAATGACAAGTAGTACAACAGTGATCATAGAACTCTTTTAAGTGTTGCTTTAAAAATAAAGGCCATCTATTAGTTTTCTTTTTATTTTTATTTTTCAATTTATAATATTCACTTACTTTTTGTTTTATGTGCTCCATAGTACTATCATCATGGGTTACAGTTTCATCAATCTGGTGAATTGCTTTCTAAAATATTTCTATCTTCTCATCTGATGTGGCATTAAATATTTCAAATAGAATATCTTTCAAATACTGTCTTTCAAATATCTCATAAACAAGATGGATAGGTTCTTGAATACTTTCAATTAGTTTATTTATGAATGTAGGGTTTGATTCCATGATGTTTCTAATTTCTTTCATTGTATTCACTCTACTGAGAAGTTTTTCATAATTATCTTCCATTTTATTATGCATTAGCCCTATACTTTGCAATCCTAGATTTAGTACTGACATAACATACTCAACAGAATTTTTTCATGAATGATACAGTGGTGTTCTTACTGCAACAAGATAATCAAGATCAAGCTCTAAAAACAAACAAATATATGACAATTGAACTCTAACAAATGTATATCTGTGATTAGGCCCCCTATCAGTATATAAACATAATACAGGTTTGCTTGTTTCTTGCATCTAAAGGATATTAAATAGTTCTGTCATATGTCATAAAGAGGAGGAAGGTTGGAATATTGGATCCTTTAAGCAGATATTTATCTTGCCCGTATAGAAATCATCATCAATTGTTTCTGGAATATCACATAGCATTGTCACACTTGGTACCATTCTAGTTTTGGTAAAATCATAATCACTAACTACAAAGGTTGTATCTTTTCTAACAATAACTTGTTTACCTCTTTCTACTGCTGCTACTAGATACCCGGGCTCTCCAATTTTATATCGATGTTTATCATCAAGAAAAATAAGCATTAAAACATCACGAAACTTAACTGCAAATTCTTTCTCATACCGAAATAGTGCAGATGCATAATGTGCATCTGGGTGATCTGCATGTAACTGCTGAGCTTGCACCATAAATTTCAATGGTAGGCGACCTGTGTAAATAGTTGTAAAATTACCGTAATTTTGTGTAATTTTACCATATTTGTGTAAAATAATGCATATAGCCATTATTTTGCACAAATATGGTAGTAATTTTGTGGTAAGTTTCAGTAAACTATTTTTCATATAATTGGCAATTCACATGATTTGTAGTTTTTGAAATCAAAAATTTTTGGTGATTGAGAAACTACAAATCAAATGATGCAATAATAATCGCTAAACTTTGTAAAGCAGGTACTTTATATATAACTATATAACGTTGTTATAGAATAGATTTTTAGTATTAGCTTCTTGAATGTATAAATATTAGTATAATTATTATTTTATCGTATTGTT